GGGTGTGTGATTTTCAGCGTCTTCACATTTTAATTCTGCTGTGATTTTTTGGGGTGTGCCGATTTCACTCAAAATTGGCAGGAAGGTCACACCCTTACTCTAGTTAGGTGGTAAAATCCTAGGAAAAAATCCTGGTGCACTGTTGCCATAGCAACATCCCAAAAGACTGATTATTGAATACTTTCACACCAAATGTAATAGCAGTGTTCAAATGATCATGCTTTTTATTTTGGCTAAATTGCACACTGACGAGAGACCACCAGCGCCAACATTGTTACACTGTATCAAAGTAAGTCCCAGCGCAACTTTGAACTTGAATGAACTGTAAATGTTGATTTCAATCATAGACAGTTTATACTGTCTATGTTTTAATCAAAGAAAATACAATCGCAAAAGAGTTGAGAATAAAAGGTTTGTCATTTTATTGAAATCTTAGTTAAAGGGTCAACTTGCATGAATATAATAATGATAATAGCAAAAGACACGTTAGTAAGAAAGTCAAGTGACTTCAGAAGACTGAATGCTCTTAGCGAACTACGTATATGGAACCCCGATTTCAGTTATAAACCAACGTTAGCTAAACATTAATGTCCTACCATGGCAACAGCCGAAAACATGTTTTTTTTAAGCAGAGTGGATCGCCAATACGCCTACTAGCTTGTTTTTTTCTCTAGTTTGCCACTGCACAGCGCCCTCTGTTGACCATGATGAAATCTGCAATGCTTGTTAAACTGAGATAAACAAACTTGTTTGAACTCTTCAACTACTTGCTTGTCTTGATAAAAAAGATTCAGTATCCTTGTGGACTTTGTTTACTAGCATTGGTCGATTGTTTTACTTAAATGTACAAAAAATGTATGGTATCTGATGGATACCTTGTATCAACAAGTCATTGTCAATGACACGTCCCCGTTCAGTTCATATTTGAGTGACATATACATTCAAAGCAGATCATGACCGAAATGCACCTGCATATGTACAACACATTGTGCTAAATCTGAACAAAATCCATCCATGCATGACTGAGATCCGGTTCTGGAATTGTGAAAATACGTGATTTTGATGCATTTTCGGCCTTAAAATGGCCATCATTCCACTATTGTTAAGCAGATCATGAAACAAATGCACATATCTATTTGTGACATGATGTACCATGTGTGTGTGAAGTTTGAACTTGATCAATCCAGACATGTCTT